TTCTACGTGGGTCTGTGGTTTAGGCTGGTGAGCTCATCTTCAGCGGAGGTTTAATATGTGGGAATCCTGGATTGCTTGGATTGAGGGCACATCTCTCCAGATGGATTTTGTTTCTTCTTCTTGGCACCCTAGGGGCATCCTTGGCTTAGAACCAATTTTTATGCCGATTTTTTAGCTTGAAAGTTTCTAGTCTACAAAGGTATTGTGAATTCAAAACCCCAAACCACACGAGGGCAGACTCTGGTGACGTGGACGCTCAGTGGAGACACTTTTGTTCTTCCACCAAGAATCTAGGCCAAGGCATCGCTTTGCCATCTGCCCATGGAGTGTCTGGCTTTTTCTCGAACCCACCATTGCACTTCAAGGATCTTTCTTCAAGACCACTTCATGGGTCTTCCAGTTCCAGTTCTCTACCTCACCTCCCATCCCTGAGCAAGTGTTCAGTCCCAGGCTCCTGGGGTATGACTTCTCCCTGCAGGGTAATAAGCTCATGTGCTTCCAACTTTGGTTCTCACTTTACTCTTCATTTCTGGCCCCAGACTATTACTTTAAGTTACTGTAAGCTCATTTAAATGAATGTTTACTATATGTTTGTCACATTTTTCCCACAATCTCTTAGGGATTACAATGAAAAGTTTTTTGGACTATCAAGGCAACTTCTAAGATGATGTTCCTGCTTCCATTTTTATAAAGAAAAATTTTAGGTTGGTAGCCAACACACCTAATTCTTTGACATCAGTTTGCTGTGTTGGGCAAGTCATATAACCTAGGGGTCAGATTCCCTATCTTTTAAATAGTGGTAACAGGACTTAACAACACAGTTCTGAAAGGTGTGTCTCCTCTGATAGGGATATTATGAGATTTAAGTAATAGAATAGATTAAAAGACACTTTGAAAAAAAATTAAGAGCCCTGCATAAGTACCAGATACGTTTTTTTTTTTTTTTAACATCTTTATTGGAGTATAATTGCTTTACAATGGTTCTGCTTTATAACAAAGTGAATCAGCTATACGTATACATGTATCCCCATATCCCCTCCCTCTCGCGTCTCCCTCCCACCCTCCCTATCCCACCCCTCTAGGTGGTCACAAAGCACTGAGCTGATCTCCCTGTGCTATGCGGCTGCTTCCCACTAGCTAGCTATTTTACATTTGTTAGTATATGTAAGTCCACGCCACTCTCTCACTTCGTCCCAGCTTACCCTTCCCCCTCCCTGTGTCCTCAAGGCCATTCTCTACGTCTGCACCAGATAGGTTTTGTTTCTTCTTTTAGATGCCATAGGGGTATCATTGGCCTAGGACCTATTTTTACTAGTATTATTACTAGTATTCTGTTTTCCCCAGAGCCTTCCCCCTCCTTCTTCTGCCATTGCATCTCCTACTCCATTTGTCTAGCTTATGGCAAGTAGAGTGGCCCTATACTTAGGCAGAGGATGAACTGCAGTTGGTGAAACCTGGCTGGTTTCACCTCATTGGGTGTGGTGATGAATGTGGCTCTGTTATTCACCCCTCAGCTCATGATCCTGTGCATCACTCGGGTTCCTTGCTAGAGAGCAGGTGTTGGTCAGTAGTAGTAATGCATTGTTATTTTGGGTAAGGTCTTAATAGCACATGAAATTATTTATATGATTCTGCTGCGTCAGCGAACAAAACAACTACTGCCTGAATACAGATTTTCTCTGCAGTTACCTGTCTATGGCTTGTCACTGAAGGAGAGTGTCAGTTGGCGTAGATGTTCAGGAAGCCACGGGAAACCTCTAAATGCATATTAACAGGAACACTGGGATTTACAATCGAGGAGTTTTTACAATATGACCTCATGTAACACACCATTTTATAATACGAAAACTTCAGTTTGAACAAGTCGTGTCGTAAAAGGGGCCGCAGAATGAGCAAAGCCAGTTGTATAATGATGGACCAACCAGATTTGGATATTGGTGTTTTCTTGGCTTTTATTTGAGGCCAAGTTCTCAAACAGAGCATTGACTTTGCTTCAGGTCAAATTAAAGTTATAATTTGCGTAGGGTTAGTCCTTGTTTAAATCACTTAGGTGGGGTTTAATTTTTGAACAAAACTCTGGAACCAGTTCAATTCACGAAAGAACATATAATTATATAACTTTTATCCTAAGACCCAAGAGATACTTTTCAGTTGATATAATGAGGATTCAAAGGGAATATGAAGCTAAAAAGGAAAGTGCTTGTAGAAATGTCAATAGAAGAAATAGAAATAGAAGACATTTGTGAAAGTCTGGTCTCAGTTATTTGTATAGTTCATTGCCCAAATTAATACACTTGATTCTCAAATAAGCAAACATGTTTTTAAATATTGAAACTTTATTTTCACAGAAAGGGTGATATAGCAATAAGAGGGTTAACCATGGTTGTATATCTTACTGAATTTTCCAAGGCATACCATTATTTAATATGGAATAGTTAACATGACTGCCCTATTTCCTCTTATCTGTAGTGACTGCCTGCAGCATACAGACAACATAAATTCCCAGCTGACTCACACCCCTCTTTTGATCCACTGAAAAGTTAGTTAATCCATTCATAAAACCTATTTACCAGACCTCCTAACAAATAGACGGGTCTGAAGATCAGTTCTTGTCATGTTCCCTGCCTGCCATCTGTTTTAGATATTAATGAGTCATGAAATGCCTACAAGCTGTGGTCTGAAAGAGACTGAGAACAGAGGGCCTGAACTGTCCGCAAACAGAATAACAGAATCCTTAGGCTACAAAGACTGTTAGGTATATTGTCTAATCAGGTGATGATAGGAATGGTGATTAAAATCAGTAGTGAATCCACAAATCTCGAAACTAAAATGCATGCTAGTTTCAGGAGAAACCTCTAAGATAGCATATAGGCTTTGGTTACTGTTGTTATGGGACAGTTGATGGAAGTTTGTGGAAGAGACCACACACATAGACTAGTTCAGTTTGGTCAGTTTATGCTGAGCACCCACTGTGCTGCTACTCTGGGGAGAGAAGGGAGTAAGACCTGTTCTTTACTCTATGGGAGTTCTCAGTCTTGGAGGGAAGAAGTAACCCAACCAAACTTGGGTCTGCTCGCCTACGTGCAGTAAAGACCGTCTGCTGATACTGGGCTGTAGTGAAGGAAGGTGTAGCGTTTATCGCAAGACCAAGCAAGGGGTACTTGCCTTAGCAAGGGGTGGCTAACGCTCAAAATGCGTGCACTCCTCAATAGCTTTCAGGGAAAGGTTTTTAAAGTCAGGGTGAGGGAGACAGTTTTGGGATGTGTGACCAGCTTGTGGACATTCGTCTGATTGATTGGTGGTGAGGTAATCGGGAATCAACATCATCAACCTTCTGGTTCCAACTTATCTGGGGTCCACGTGCCTGTGGTCAGCGTGCAGTTAACTTCTTCCTCTTGGTGCGGGTTTCAGTATCTGCAAAACAACTCAAGGATGTGGCTCAGGATATTTTCTATAGCACTTGAGGAGGAACTAAAGGCCCTAGACTTTGTTTAATGGCTAAACTATTATTATTTTCTCTTACTTTTCTTTGTTTCTTTCTTTCTCACTTCTTTTTTTTTTTGCGGTATGCGGGCCTCTCACTGCTGTGGCCTCTCCCGCTGTGGAGCACAGGCTCCGGACGCGCAGGCTCAGCGGCCATGGCTCACGGGCCCAGCCGCCCCACAGCATGCTGGATCCTCCCGGACCGGGGCACGAACCCGCGTCCCCTGCATCGGCAGGCGGACTCCCAACCACTGCGCCACCAGGGAAGCCCCTCACTTCTTTGATTAAATTTATTCTTTGGAACTGGGGAAGGCCTAGGAGGCTAAAGTTTTTCTACAAACAAGAGGCAGGTAGAGGACAGGGACGTGGGTCCTGTCCTGGGAAGGCTCCATAGGGTTCTGCTGGGTTACAGTATCACACAACTGTCTATGCTGTGACAATAATGGCTACGATGGAGCACTTGCTGGGCATGCGCCAAGCCTCATGCCTGCCTAGGACTTATTTACTTACATTATCTTGAATGTTCTTATCAGTTCTCTAGGGAGATATTATCATCTCCAGTTTACAAATGGGAAAGCAGTATTTCTTCCCCTACCTGTTAGCATGCTGCCTCTCAGCACAATATGTTAAATGCCTTGCCAAGGACTGAGACTGGAATCTGACAGGCGAAGGTCTAATCTTGACTCTGCTATATACCTGTGGGGTCTTGAGGACATTTCTTAATTTATTTGAGCCATAGTTTCTCATCTATGAAACAGAGTAATATCTACCTCACCTCTCAGCTTCAAGGTCAACATCCTCTGAAAGGCCTTACTCAACCACTCTAAGGACTCTTTTTCCCATCTCCCCAGTCACTTGATCTCATTATCCTGTTTTTATTTTGTTATGGCCTTTATCACCATCTGAAAGGATCTCATGTGTCATTGGCTTACATGACTATTGTCGGCCTCCCCACGTGATAGTGAGTTTCGTGAAGCCAGGGACTGGGCCTGTCATGGTCACCCTCCCTGTCCCCAGAATCTGGCTTCTGGCACATAGTAGGCATTCAGTAAGTACTACATGAATGGGCAATGGTCTAGGCAATAGTTGACGGAAAATGTCCTTGTGAACAATTCCACTAGGTTCTCTTAGAAAGAAAATAAATCATTGAAAGCTTTGAACTATGCTGTTAAGGTAGGTAGAAAGATTTGAATTTTTTTTTTTTAACCATACTGAAGGTTTAAAAATAAGTTGAATTTCATCATCCAGTGCATGATGGTCCATCCTTGACCTGAACTTGGCTTCAATAAAAGGAGCAGGGAGGCAAATACGACACAAAGACACAGAAATCGGGATCTTTCGTACACGTGACTGTGGGAGATGCTGAGAGAAATGTGTAACCAGAACTCATCTGAGTAGGTGTTTGGCCTTCACTCTCTGTCACAAGCATTAATCTCAGAGTGAGTGACATGTCGTACTATAACTACAAAAGATACCTCCGGCTGCCACTGACTTGTTTATCTTTGCCATTGTTTCAGGATTCTGAGAAGCGAACCCCACTTCACGTGGCTGCGTTTCTGGGAGATGCAGAGATCATTGAACTCCTGATTCTGTCAGGTAAATATCAGCTGTACTTAAAAGTCAACTGCAGATAAAAACTTAAGTGACCAATTTACTGGATTGACTACTACAATGAATCCAAACAAAATTTCTTTACTGTGCTCGTGGAAGTTTATTTGATCACGGAGTTTATCAGTAGACAAGGGACAATGCAAGACCTTCTTATTGAAAAATGACTTCTCTAGTGAAACTTTTATATTGCTTTGAAAGTCTGATTCCTGACTGTCTAACCAGGCCCAGTATTGTAAATGAATTCAGTACATTTGGATATCTTTTAATTGGTTTTCATTGTAAGAAAACAAGAACAAACAAGAAAGCTGTTTTCTTAAGGTCTACATGAACACATGTAAATGTGTATGTGTATTTACATATATTTAAATTGCATTACAAAACAATACTATGTTTTGCTTATGGATACATGACTGTAATGATATAATCAAATAATAAAAATATGGAAGGAAAGGAAACATATCCGTTTCCAGATAGTGGTTACCTCTGAGGAAGACAACTGAGTGAGAGATGTCTTCAGGGGAGGGTATGAAAGAGACTATAACTCTAAAATATTTTATTTTTTAAAAATTGGAGTAAATATGGCCAACACATGTTAAATCAGATTTGTGTGTGTACTGGTCTTTGTGATATTATTCTCTTTATTTTTTGATGTATTTTAAATATTTCATCCGATTTTTTAAATGTCAGTGTTTTCATTTTTGGAAACCTGTATGCTTGGTACATCTCACCAGACAGGTTTCCAAAACCAGTATGTGCTTTCTCCCTTGAGTATTTGCTAGACAAATCCCCAGAATGAATCTGAGCACGTGCACGTGTCTCAGTGTGGATTGTATGCAGGCCAGCTGGCTTTCTTCCTCCTTCTTTTGGTTTGGGGAGATTCAAATCTGGAGGCAATGCCTCTTCCCACAGACTATGCAAAAGGCCTATGATAAGGTTTAACCTTTGTTTGCAGTAGGGAAACCGTAGAATTCTAAAGTCATCTATGCAAAGGTAGGAACTGACATGGTATTCGAGCAGATGTGGAGAACATTATGAAATAGAAGCAAGCATTGTGCTGTTATACACAAAGAAGACTCACATTGCCCTTATTTTTGTTGTGTTTGTGTCCTTGAGGTGGGTTTTCCCAGGAAACAAATATTTTGTGCCTTACAATGTTTGTGCCCCGTGCTCTTGACAATCTCGTGGAACTTAAGTTAGATTCCACGTAGTACTTCTGGTGCTCTTGAGAACAGGCTTTCATTCTGATAATTCTAAAGATGTTTCAGGGCTGTGTTCCAAACAGAACATGTACTGTTTGAGGCTGGCACAGTCTATGGCTAACAGCCAGCGCACACCTGGCTGGTCGCCCCAACAGTAGAAATTTGGCCCATGGAAAATTATAGGCAGAATTGGTTAGGGTGAAAAATAATGAGTTTTGTGGTATGACACCTAATGGTCCCGACCCGCTGTACTCACCATCTAAATGTTGTATTAAGAGACAGATCTGGGTCTCAGAGGAATGTTTGATTCACGAATGTACAAACAAAACCTTGTTTTAGATCCCCAGCTTTGGTTTTTGGTTTGTTTTTCCACATTCGAAGGGGAAGGTTTTAATTCTTCAGCATGAAGGACCCATCTATTTTTTTTTTTTTCAGGCATCTGGGGTCTGGTGATCAAGAAACTTGGTTTCCCCCCCCCTTCACGTGGGCATGGAGTACACCAGCCTCTTTTAAACGGGGCTTATTCAGTAGAGCCAGGAGAAACTGTTGTGTATATCTTGATCTGTACACCTGTTCTCTTAGCCCAGTCATCTAGGAAGAATCACTGGCTATTAATGTCTCTAGTATGATTTTGGGCGGCACATTTTTCCTTCTTTCCTTCTTCCCGCATCAAATTAGGAAGACTGAGGGCATGGGAGAGCATTGGGAAAGTTCTTTAGAAATTTTATTCAGCTGTGCAAACTTAGGCGAATTCTTGGAATTCTCATGGTTTTAATTTCCCCAAAAGGTCCTTTATTCAATATGTATATATTCCTAAAGAAATATCATTGCAAGAGCAGTGATTTCATCTCTGAGCTTACATCTTGGCAGCTGACCCTTTAGGGAATCCAACCAAACTGTTTTCCAATTTAATAATGAATGAGGTGCTAACAATTCCCACGTTGGACAAATCACTTGGCTTTGCCAGAATTGCCCATTACAGCTGTATTCTGCATTGTTGTATTAACTTACAGAGCATAGTGTAACCCAAGCCCGCTAAATTCCTACTGACATTATCTCCTGTTAGCCAGGCAGATGGAACCCTGAATGCCTCTGAGCAGACAGCGAGGAATTCAGGCCTTGCAGATTTCCGCTTCTTCTAACTGCCAGTCCACATTCTGGCTTTATTTTCCCCACCTGCTTCTAGCTTCTGTTTTGGAACTGGCCGAGTCAGGATTAAGGCAAATACAAGGTCAAGAGCTTGCTAAATCGTTTGCCTGGAGATGGATGAATGAGATCAGTGTGAACCAATCAGTGACCAAGAGTTAAGAGCCTAGGCTTGAGATATAGGAAACAGAGCACACAGAGAAACAGCCACAGTAACGAGACCCTGTAGAGAAACTCTGGAGACACGCAAGGGTTAGAGAGTTCTGGGCTGAAGGAAGAAAACCAGGAGTACCCACCCTCTAAAATGGGAGTGTTTGTGAGGGTGTTTTTAATTTACTAATTAGAAATAGTAAACTTATTAGAACATAGACCACCAAACAAGTGGTATTCCTGTAAAATTATTTCCTGTGATTGTTCAAAATGTGATTACTACTCTCAATGCAAATTGCCTCCAGAGCTGGTAGCAAGTCATTCTTTTGATTATCTCATGCATAACAAATATTCATCCTTTGAGGTTGGATTTGATTTTCTTTTTTGGTCTAGAGAAAGAGGGGTGATTAAATGAGTCAGTGCTGATTTTGGCCTCCAGTGTAGTGCAATTATAAAGTAATGGGCCATTTGCTGATGGGTATATAAACTGGTTCCAAAGGTAGGTCCAAGGGGAGTTTTTAAAATGCTTTGGGCAATGCTACCTGCATGGAATTATCATACACTCTTCCAAGGTCATTGCTTTGAAGGGCAGTGCTCCTGGACTGTAATAAGATTTGGTCTGTTTGTTAAAAAAAAAAAAAAATCAAAAGCAAGCTGATCTCAATGTATTATAATCATACTTCATATGATCTTTATTTCATATTTCTTTTTCTTTTAAATTAATTTGTTTATTTATCTATTTTTTTGGCTGTGTTGGGTCTTCGTTGCTGTGCGTGGGCTTTCTCTAGTTGTGGTGAGCAGGGCTACTCTTCTTTGTGGTGTGCGGGCTTCTCATTGTGGTGGTTTCTCTTTGTTGCAGAGCGCACGGGCTCTAGGTACGTGGTCTTCGGTAGCTGTGGCATGTGAGCTCAGTAGTTGAGGTGCACAGGCTTAGTTGCTCCGCGGCATGTGGGATCTTCCCGGACCAGGGCTCGAACCCATGTCCCCTGCATTGGCAGGTGGATTCTTAACCACTGCACCACCAGGGAAGTCCCCATAATTATTTCTATAACTAAAAGCGAAACATTGGCTAAACCCACCTTGAGAATCAGTTGTTCCCTCTGGCCTGTAAGAGTTTTAGTCATTTGGTCTGCCTTTTTTCTTTATTCGACTTCTTCCTAGATGACAGGGCTAAGAGAACAGAAATATTGCCTCTGGAAAAGATGCTCAGAGTTCTCTTTACTCCTGATATCTATGAAAATAAAATCAAGTGTTAATAGGGATAAGATTAAAAAAAAAAGGTACTTAATTTGTAATTAGAGTTTATGCCTGATAACTTTTAGTTGTGTCTTTGTTTCTGCAGAATCAGCATAGCCTAGTGCTTTAAAAAAAAAAAAGATAAGCTTTAAAATGTCCTTGGGGAAAAAGCATTTGCCTTTAAATCATGAGACACGCAGACTCTGTGTCCTTCAGTGCACAATGGTGCCTGACAGGCAGGTAAATAACATGAAGCTTCCTTTAGAAAAATCAGTTATAAATATTCAACTCAAAACCATCTGATGTCTCCCTCTGACACGTAAACAAGACTCTCAGACAGACGGAGGAAGAGGATGAGGAAGCCGGTCTCACGGGATGACACTGATGAAATACTGCGTCCCCATTCAGATAACTCTGCTTTTGTCGTAATAATTTTGTTGTTCTGGGAGAGGAGGTTTCCTTGGCAGCTGCCTCTTCAACCTTTTGGAGGAGGATTAGTAGAGGAATGGAGGACTTAAATAGTGACTGAAAGAATCTACTTCCTAGATTTCTAATTATCTTTCAATTCCTCAAGTGACCCCAAAGCTGCATGAACACAGTGCTGGTGTTCGTTACACACGGGGCATGTGTTGCTTTATGCTGCGCAGCAAGCTCAGCAAGCTCAGAAAAAAGTAGTGTAAGAAAAAGCAACTTAATCCCCCCTGAACCATTTTCATTAAGAGACATAAAACTTTAAGTGTACTAGCTTTCTTAAAAGTATTTTAGGGCTTCCCTGGTGGCGCAGTGGTTGAGAATCTGCCTGCAGGGGACACGGGTTCGAGCCCTGGTCTGGGAAGATCTCACATGCTGTGGAGCAACTAGGCCCGTGAGCCACAACTACTGAGCCTGCACGTCTGGAGCTTGTGCTCTGCAACAAGAGAGGCTGCGATAGTGAGAGGCCTGTGCACCGTGATGAAGAGTGGCCCCCGCTTGCCACAACTAGAGAAAGCCCTCACACTGAAACGAAGACCCAACACAGCAAAAATAAATAAATAAATAATTAAAACTCCTACCCCCAACATCTAAAAAAAAAGTATTTTATTAGAAAATATTTCAAACATACAGAAAAGTATGGAGAATAATGTAATTAATACCCATGTATATCAAGCTTTAAGAAATCTTAAGATTTTTCTATACTTGCATTATATCTTTTTGAAAAGGAAGTAAAGCATTGAAGACACAGTTGAAGCCCATTGTATCCTTTCCTTATCCTTTCACACCCTCCCTCCCAAGAGGCAACCACTAGCCAGTATTGGTAGTTGTTTTCTTTAGCCATATTTGTTACTTTTATTTCAATCTATGCATCTATAAACAACATATTGCTTTGTTTTTATAAATTTAGAAACTTTATGTAACTGGTATTAAGCCGTTGGTATTAATCTGCAACTCCATTTGTTCATTCATTGTGGGGTTTTTTTTTCTTTTTTTTTCTTTTTTTTTTTTTTTGCGGTATGCGGACCTCTCACTGTTGTGGCCTCTCCCGTTGCAGAGCACAGGCTCCGGATGCGCAGGCTCAGTGGCCATGGTTCAAGGGCCTAGCCACTCTGTGGCATGTGGGATCTTCCCGCACCGGGGCACGAACCCATGTCCCCTGCATCGGCAGGCGGACTCTCAACCACTGCGCCACCAGGGAAGCCCCATTGTGGTGTTTTTGAAGTGCATATGTTTATATATGTAATTTCAGTCTGTTCATTTCCATGACAGTGTAGCATTCCGTTGTACAAATATACCACAGTGTGTTTTTCCATTTTCCTCTTGATCACCATTTGGGATCCCAGTATCTTGCTGTTACAAACATGCTTCAGTGAATATTCTTGTACATGTATGAGAGTTTCTCTAGGGTATATGATTGGGTGGAATTGCTGGGTGGTAGGGCACGCACATCATCAGTTTTATTAGGTAGCACCACCCTGTTTCCAAAGGGGGTTGTACCAATTCACACTCTCACCATCTGTATCTTTGTTTCCCTGTTGCTCCATATCCTTGCTAACTCTTGGCATTTCACACTTTAAAATTTTCCCCAATTTGATGTGTGCAGTATGCTTTGTTAATGTTGCTTTCATTGGCTTCTGCTTGATGAATTTTGAGAAGTATCTTTTCACACGTGTCTTACCATTTGGGTTTCTTCTTCTTGCATTAGCTTTTTAAGTTTATACACAATATTTGCTCTGTGAAAGACCATGAATAACAAAATATGTATTTCTGTTCCATATTATTATAAACGGTGTTTGGAACTAGAAGGAAAAATATGAGAAAGAAGGAATGAAATCAAGGGGGAATATATACATATATATGAAAAATATATACATGAAATTGGAGAAAGAGGGAGAGAAGAGTGACTCTAAGGACCAGAGAGAAAGATGGGGAAAATGGAAGGGAAATGCAGTTAGTGTTAGTTGAATGCTGCGTGAATGTTGCTAGTTTTGAAGTGAGGCACACTGCCCTGGAGCTTGGCCTTGAAGTCACACCACCTGGGTTCAAATCTACCACTTTCTAGCTGGGGACCTGGAGCATGTTATTTCTCATGGCCTTGGTTCCCTCATCTATAAAACTGGCATAATAAGAGTATCTCCCTATTAGATGGATTACACATACGTTAGTATAGAGAGTCAGCGTTCAGATCACGTTAGCCATTCTTAACAGGGCTCTTAGCAATTTCACAGCTCTACTGGTAGAATCATAGCTCCTTAGAACTGAAGAGAGCTGCTCAAGCAAACGAGTAGCCAAGCCTGGGCTCTGCCACCTAGCATTTAGAGCTGCGCTGTTCAGTTTGGTAGCCACATTCCAGCTGTGGCTATTGAACACTTGAAGTGTGGCCCGATTGAATGGAGATGTGCTGTGAGTGTGAAATACACATGGGATTTTGAAGCTTTAGCATGAAAAAAAGAATGCAAATTATCTCAATAATTAAAAAATTCAATTACATGATAATATTTTGGATATATTGAGTTAAGTAGGTAAAATATATTACTAAAGTTAGTTTACTTGTTTTTTATACCCTTTTTAGAGTGGTTACTAGAAAATTTTCAGTTACTTGGTTCACATTATATTTCCATTGGGCAGCACTGATTTAGAGGCTCTGAGGCAGAACTGATATGCTACCCATAGCGGGTATCAATCTGTCCCATGTAGCATTCCTTCCTACAAACATACTAAAGTGTGTATGATGTTCTTAAGAAAGAACATCATGCAGACAGCCAGGTGAAAATTCAAACCCAGAAACAGAGGGAACTTACGGCCAGATGTTCTTCATCTCAGATTACTGATTTGACTTCGTGACACGGAAGTCCCTTAAACGTGGACAGGGAATCTGAAGGGACACCCTGATACAGCCATCTCTACCAGTAGGGAATGAGACTTGAATCCAGGTCTTCGTGAAATTTGGGTGATGTTTGTGCCGTGTCAAAGAAAGAGCCTAGGATTAAGTAACAAATATACATTTGAGTTACGAGAGAGAATAAAAGGTCTGTCTTCTGATATGCAGGTATAAGCACAATGTGGTAAAATAGACGTATTTATGACCCGGGTAAAGGCCTGACAAAAAGATGGGTAATTTTAGAAGGGTTGAATAGCTGAATGTTGGAAGAAGAAATACTGGGACCTGAGGGATAAATACTGTTTGTTTCTAAACCAGAAAGGTAGGCTTTGTGACAATCATCTGGTGCTCCCTTGGAACTAAGACTTGGAACTAAGACTAGGAGAGGAAAGCTAATATTTGTTTTTTCGTAGGGAAAATTTTGTTTTAAAATTCACAATGTTTTCTGCTCTCAATTACATCTGGGTTTCCTCCTCCCTGGCATTCTCTAGCATCTGAGTCTCTCTTAATCTTCAAAAGATACCTGTTTGTGCAATCTCTAGGTGATGGTCCTTTGCGTTCTTAAATCTATATGTTTGACTTCCCCCTACTTTCCTGGGCAAAGACTATACCTCTCACTTCCTTGAAGACCTGAGTCATAGATTCAGAAGTAAATATGACATTAGAGGGGATTTGGAAATAAGAACTGCTAATATTTTTCTAGTGCTTTGCAATTTACAAAGCACCTTCAAATTCACTTGATTCTCCCAGCCACCTCATGAGGTGGGTAGAGAAGTATTATTATGTAGTTGTTGTTAGCCTCATTTTACAGAGTAGTGGCTTTTGGTAGCTGGGCCAGTAGGTGCTGAAATCAGAATCAAATCTGGGTCTTCTGACCATGAATCCCACTGTCCTTCCCAGACCTCATTCGTTTCACTCCAGAGCATTTAGCCCAGGACATCCTGCTACTGGGGAGTGAGATGTCTGCTGCCTTGGCGTCTTAGCACCACCAAACTGATTTTGTTTGGTTCTTACTGATGTAAGGGGCTTGAACCTTTTCAGGTAAGCTGCCTGGATGAAGTTAGTAGAATTAGGATTCAAATAATTTTAAGCTTGATAAACTAAGCAACAATTTACCAGTGGCTCTCAATCTTAATAGCCTATTACAATAACCGTGGGTCCTGGGGAGTTTTTAAAAAATACCTGTGCCTGGTCCCACCTCCATCTAATGAAATCAGAATGAGGGGAGAAGAGACATTCTCTCTCTCTTTGTTTTAGGGCTTATTATGTTCTTGTTTTCTATCATTAGTATGGTTGATGGTATTTGTTCTTCAGTTAAAGAGAAAAAACGGTGTAAGTTCTATGATTAAATTAAATTTCTAGCATACTTTTATCCATGAAAGTCTCCTGTTGCCTTTTTGTTTTTTTCTAACCATGGTTCCTATTTTTTAGCTGTCAGCTGGCCTTGGCCTCACAGAGATTGGTCAGCCTCTGCTTACACCTGACTCACTTTCTCGGCCCTTGTCTCAGAGCCACCTCCTTTGCACTTCCCCTCCCCTGCCTTACTTTCTAGTTTCTTTGAGCTTCCTTCCTTGTTGTCCTAAGGCTAAAACAGGCTCCTCTTATTACATCTGCAAAGATATCATAGATATTTTCTCCTGCTCTCCTTTTGCAGTCCTTTTATAAAACTTTCCATCTCTGACCAGAAGACTGATCAAAATCCAGATTCCAAAAAAAGGAAGCTCATATTGGGTGTTGTAGTGGTTCAGTTGTAGCTTGGTGGGCATGTACGCATGGAGAATTGTGCAGGTGTCATGGGTGGAGGGCATACTCTACTTTCTGGGAATCTGTTCCTGTGGAGCTTCTGCTGCGTGATTGTGATGTGGCTCCCAGGGAGCTGAGCACAGGCACCTCCCTGAGTATGACCGGGCTCCGGCTTGTGTGTCAGCCTGTATGCCCACCCCACAGTGGGAGCGAGCCGTGAGCAGCCTACATAGGCTTCATGTTGTGTCTGTCCAAAAGCTCCATGGAACCTGGCTTCTTCCTACCAAAATATTTGGCTAGTTCCAGAGAAATAATTGGGATTCTTGGATAAAACGGATTTCTGCTAATCCCTTTAGCCCAGATCAAATCTCATCAGAAGTCAACTTCACTGGCCTCTAGTATACACTTGTTGGAAGGCTGATCATCGCTAACAGTTTTCCAAGAAGGATGTTGTGTGCCCTGTGAGATAAATGTGCTTAATGACTAAAAATAAAATAATGTATATGATTCTATATTTTATATTCAGGAATATAACATTCAGGAACACGAACACACACACACTCACACACACACACATGCATACACACCCCTGAAAATTTCTTCATTCTTCAGAACCTACATTTCTATAGTTCTGGAGAATCTCAGCTTTCTTACAACTGTATCTCCTACCCAGTGAGACACTGTTATTTCTCATCTAGTCTTGGCCCTATTCTTTTTTTTTTTTTTTTTTTTGCGATATGTGGGCCTCTCACTGTCGTGGCCTTTCCCGTTGCCGGATGCGCAAGCTCAGCGCCCATGGCTCACGGGCCCAGCCGCTCCGCGGCATGTGGGATCCTCCCGGACCGGGGCACGAACCCGTATCCCCTGCATCGGCAGGCGGACTCTCAACCACCGCGCCACCAGGGAGGCCCGGCCCTATTCTTGGGACATCCTCAGCTCCTGACCTTGCTCCTCTACTGCATTCAATGTCTTCTCCTTGTTTGGTGGCTAGAAAGCACATGACTAACAGAAAGGAAAAAACAAAACAAAATGTGTTGGTTGTACCCGGCAAACGAGAGCACAAGATATAGCATCTGACTTCACATCAGCAGAATTGCATTATGCCTCTAACCTGTGCTGTTTGGTTCCAGGAGCTCGTGTGAATGCCAAGGACAACATGTGGCTGACCCCGCTTCACCGGGCTGTTGCCTCCAGAAGTGAAGTGAGTGATTATCTTATTTAATCTAGCACCTCCAGTTCCGAGAAAGAGAAAAATGCTTTCTGCTGAAATTAGGGATTCTCACTGGTGAGCAAAAGGCTTTTACTTCTAATGCAGGAGGGTTACCAAATTGAGCAGCTGTTTGTTTAAGCACCTCCTGTGTGCCAGGCATGGTGCTAGGGGCTGACTGGGGTGGTCCGAGATGGACGGTGTGATCCTTGACTTCAGTGAGTTCTCAGTCTGAAGGGGGTGCAAACAGGTAAGCAGATCTGTACAGTATCATAACTGAATTGGAGGAAGAAGCAAATAACTGTCTTCTTGAATAGACGAAGTCTTCCAAGAAGACATGTCAATTGAGCTAGTCCTTAGAGAATGATAGGGACTTACCAGGCCAGGAAGACGAGAGAGGGCTGAGACAAGAGGAGAAGCATGCTGTAGGACAGGGGTCATGGAAGTGATTGAATGGTGGGTTCAGTTGGATGTAGCTGGAACACAGGGTGTAGTAGAAGGTAAGTCTGATAGTAGAGGCTGGGTCCAATAGCAGAGGGCTGGGTGTCCTCTGAGCAGTGGGGAGTGTTGACAGCAGAGATAAGTTGTGAACCTGACAGGATTTGGAACTTGTGAGGGTGAGATGGAAAAGAAGCCATTGGGTGAATGGTAACACCATTACCATTGGTAACCCAATGGAAGGCAGAGGCAAAGGAGCAAGGGTTGGGGAGGTTAATCATTTCTGTTTAAACATGCAAGCATGTCACTGGAATGTAAGCACCATGATGGTAGGGATTTTGTTTTGTTTCCTGATGTAACCCAAGCCTGGTACATTGTAGGTGTTCAAGAAAGAGTTTATTTTGAATGCTGGAAATTTGGGTGAGGATGGCAAATATGTCTTTTAATTGGAACATTTTGTCCATTTACATTTAAAGTAATTATTGATAGGTATGTACTTATGCCATTTCATTAATTGTTTTCTGGTTGTTTTGTAGTTCTTTTCTTTTTCTTCTTCTTCTTTTGCTCTCTTTCATTGTGATTTGATGACTGTTTAGTGTTATGTTTAGATTCTTTTCTATTTTTCTACGTGTATCTGTTGTAGGTTTTTGGTTTGTGGTAACCATATATGTATATGTTGATGATCTCTTAATTTCGAACATATTCTAACAACTCCGAATTTTTACTCCCCCTGCTATATTTAATGTTTTTGACACCATATTTTACATCTTTTGGTTTTGTGTATCCCTTGACAACTTATTGTGGATATAGATGATTTTGCTACTTTTGTCTTTTAGCCTTTCTACTAGCTTTATAAGTGGTTGATCTACTACCTTTAGTTTATGTTTGCCTTTACCAATGAGATTTTTCCTTTCATAATTTTCATATTTCTACTTGTGGCCTTTTCTTTTCCACTAAGAGAAGTCCCGTGAACATTTCTTGTAAAGCTGGGTTAGTGGTGCTGAATTCTTTTAGCTTTTGCTTCTCTGTAATACTCTTTGTCTCTCCTTCAAATCTGAATGATAACCTTGCCAGGTAGAGTATTCTCAGTTGTACGTTTTTTCCTTTCATTGCTTTGAATATAAAGTGCTACTCCCTTCTGGCCTGCAAAGTTTCTTCTGAAAGTCAGCTGATTGTCATATCCCTTGTACATAACTAGCTGCTTTTCTCTTGCTGCTTTTATTTCTTATTATTTTTTAAAAACTTTTAATATATTTTTAAAAAGTTATTTTATTGAAGTATAGTTGATTTACAATGCCATTATGGTTTATCACAGGATATTGAATATAGTTCCCTGTGCTATACAGTAGGACCTTGTTGTTTATCCATTCTATATATAATAGTTTTCATTTGCTAATCCCAAATTCCCAATCCATCCCTCCCCACCCGCTCCCCCTCCCTCTCCCCCAGCAACCTATTGCTGTTTTTAAGATTCTCTTTTTTTCTTTAATTTTTGTCATTTTAATTACATTGTGTCTTGGTGTGGACCTCTTTGGGTTTGCTTTGTTTGGGATTCTCTGGGATTCCTGGACCTGGATATCTGTTTCCTTCCCCAGGTTAAGGAAGTTTTTAGCTATTATTTCTCTGCCCCTTTCTCTTTCTCTTCTCCTTCTGGGACTCCTATATTGGAAATGTTAGTACACTTGATGTTGTCCCAGAGATCTCTTAAACTATCCTCATTTTTTTAAATTCTTTTTTTTCTTTATTCTGTTCAGCTTGGGCTATTTCCACTTCTCTGTCTTCCAGATTGCTGATCCATTCCTCTGTGTCATCTAACCTACTGTTGATTCCTTCTAGTATATATTTTCATTTCAGTTATTGTATTCTTCAGCTTTGTTTGGTTCTTCTTTATATTTTCTAACTCTTTCTTAAAATGCTTGCTGTGTTCATCCATTCTTCTCCTGAGTTCATTGGGCATCTTTATGATCATTACCTTGAACTATTTATTGGGTAGATTGCTTATCTCTACTTCATTTAGTTCTTTTTCTGAGGTTTTGTCTTGTTTCTTCATTTGGAACATACTCCTCTATCTCCTCATTTTGCGTAATTCTCTGTGTTTATTTCTATGTATTAGGTAGGTCAGTTACATTTCCCGATCTTAGAGAAGTGGCCTTATGTGGGAGATGCCCTGTGGGGTCCAACAGCATGCTTCCCTATGGTCCCAGAGCTATATGCTCTAGGGGTGCCCCCATCTGGGCTGTGGGCCCCCCTCTGTTGGAGCGGATCCAATTATTGTGGGTCTGCTGGGAGGCGGGGCTGGCTCCCACTTAGTAGGCTGTCAGGTTCTGCCTCATGGAGTAGCTGTGGGCCCACTGGAGGATGGGTAGTTTCCCCAAGCAGTTAGCTGTGCAGCCTTGGGGGTGTCGGGCTGGTGCTGGTGGGCAGGTAAGTCCCCCAGCACTAATAGGCTATCAGGAGGATTCCAAAATGGCACTTGCCAGTGCTGATGTCATTGTAGAATGAACTCCCCCAAATGGCTGCCACCAGTGTCTTTATCCTCAGATGGAGTCCCGGTTGCCTTCTGCCTCTCTGAGAGGCTCTCCAAGAATAGCAAGTAGGTCTGACGCAGGCTCCTTTTAAACTACTGCCTCTGCACTGGGACTTGCAGTGTGTGAGATTTTCTACATGCCCTTTCGGAGCAGTCTGGTTCCTAAGCTCTGTGGCTCTCCTGAACACAAGCCCCACTGGTTTTCAAAGCAGAACTTCTGGGAGCCCATCTTCCTGCTGTAGGATCCTGGGCTGGGGAGCCCAGTGTGCAACTTGGACCCCTTGCTCCTTGGGGAGGACCTCTGCCATTGTGATATTCTTCCCATTTCTGGGCTGCTGACCCAGGTGTATGGGTCCTGAGTATACTGCATCTTACACCCTCCCATCCATCTCATTGTAGTTCCTTCTTCATATCTTTAGTTGTGGGGAATCTTTTCTGCTTTCTTCAGGTCATTCTCATAGATAGTTGCTCTGTAAGTAGTTGCAATGTTGTTGTGCCTTTGGGAGAAGGTGAGTTCAGAGTCTTCCCACTCTGCCATCTTGGCTACATCCCATCCTTCCTTTTGTGAATTCTATCCTATAGCCATTACTTTATGCCTCCCCTAAAAAAATAGCTGGAGAAAGGGAAGCATGCTTGAGAGGGGAAGAACAGAGAAGGTTTGGGCTGGTCTTTTGGAGTTTTGCTATTAGCACTTGCCAAAGAAGATATGTGTGTTGAGTAAGAGAGCTGGCACATCTGTCTATTGCTTAGACGGGGCAAACAGTGATATTCCTTACACAAATATGGTTTAAAAGCCATTTCTTCATTGAAAGGCTTATAAACTCCATATTGTCTTCAAAACCCCTGTGCTTCTAAAATGTGGGTAATTGATCTCTCTCAGGGCTTCAAGGTTCAGGGTTCAATCAGGGAAGCCGAACCACAATGAGGAATATAGATAGGACATTTATTATAGGAATTAGAGCTTACGCAGTGGTGTGAGCTGCTGAAGTTTATGTAAGGCTATCCCCTTGGTTTCTGTGTGGTCCTAAATTCACTGTAGGCCAGCAGGGTCGGCAGTTGAAAAGAAAAGCGAAACATGAAATGGGGGAAAACAGGGATAAACTGAAACCCCTGTCTGTCTCTCACTGCCTCTGCATCGTGGATGTGGGTGCCTTGCAGAAGGAGCTGTGTGCTTCACCTGTGAGCTTGCATGCACCTGGCCCAGGAATGGGAGAAACTGAAGAACATATGGCAGGATCTGAAGAAGCATCAACCTGGTACTGCCCTTTGCCAACACAGTGATGCAGCTGGTCAGTGACACCGTGCACAAGCCACCACAGACCTGGCACCCAACATGCCAGTCAGTCTGTGGTTTCATGTATGCCTTCCAAAACTCATGCAGATTTCTCCAGCACCAGCCCTAAATGGAACAGTACAGTGGAGGGAACTCTGCAAAATGTCGCTCAGCTTGGCTAACTTAGCACAATATAAAACTACCATTGAAATTGTTTTTCTGTTTTAATTAAAAAGGTCTTCTAGGCAGTACGTTCTTTGCAATGAGTGGCATGCCTATTGCTTGTCCTTGTATGTTTAGCATCTAGCCTGCACAGGAAACAATTGTGTTTTGAGTGATTCGTTAAAGACTGGGTTTTCCACTTAAGCTGTGTTAACCTGGTTCTCTGTAAAACTGCTAATGTGGAGCTAGTATACAGCACAGAGAACGCTGGTGGTAATCATCTTTCATGCATGCAAGGTAAACTAACTTGAAGTTTGTTTATGGGAGCGTGGCACTAAAAGCAAGTTAAGCCACTGGATCCTGCAAAATCAGAACAAGTTTCAAAAATAGCGTGCAAAAAGATATCAGGTTAAGTCAAAGTTATCAGTATACGTCAACATTTCTGAGCCTTCTTTCCATCAGGCAAATTTCATGTTTGGACTTCTATGCCTGGAAAAATAATGTTCATTTGCTGAATTCATTTCCTGAGCCTGTTATTACAATAGGAGTATCAGGTCATAATACTGATTAAACATCCACCCATGCTTGACATTA